ATTCAGAATTTAATTAAAACATAATTTTTAACATACAATTATATAATGATTATTTTTTTGTCAATTGCTGAATGTGAATAATTTAGTGTAACTAGAGTTGAAAATAATGATAATGTAATTAAATAAATATAAAGGGTATTACTTACATACAAAGATAACCCCGACCGCGACAGTAATGCCAAAGATCGAGCCAGATAGCAGGAGCCTTAGGAGGTAATATAGCATTGGTACAAGAACAACTATCGCCCAGCAAATAGTGTTAACAAGAGAATAATATCTTCTCTTTAGCCTGAACGAACCTATCCTAGGTACTCCGCTCGTAGCAAAAAAATCACCGGTTTCATAGAAGCTCTCCGCCATACGATCCTATCAAACAAAGATTTTATCTAACGTTATCGCGTTATATTGTCGTGTCTAACTAATAAACCAAGTCATTTAACAAAGATCAATTTTCTTATTATTCTACTCGATTTAATCACAAACTTATGATCACTTTATTCTAATGCTCACAAAAAAGTCTAATATTCTTTTTGTACTGGAAAATACTCAAGTTGGATAAATCGTAATAAAAGTAAATTACATATGGTTCTATCTTTATTGAACAGATGACTCAACTCTTAATTTAAGCCTTTCAGATTAAGCTTTTCTACTCAAAAGCTTAGAAAGCATTATTATGTACCAGTTACAGAATTATATTTCTATCAAAATAGTACAAACTTTTCTATCTGATTCAAGCAATAAAAATTTAACTACCTTTTGCTGATAAAGCGTCTGCAGCCATTCAGCAGCCGCTTCATCTCCTTCTGGTACTTCCTCAATTGGAATTCTTTTAGCATACAAATATCCTTCTAGTCGTTTTCCAAAAAGAAGATTCTTCATAGTCGGTTTCACAGGATCAGATGGTTTGAATGCTATCTGAACATCATAGATGGCCGTTGCTTTGCCTCTCATATGTGGAATGCTGGCGGTAAAGCCCTTTGTGCGTGGCGTTAAATGATATTTTAATATTGGCAGACCTTTTTCGATGGCAAATTTCTGACTCGCTTCTAGCTTTTTTGGCGTAAAACGCGTACCCTCGGGATAGAGCAGCAACTATAATGAATTTACATATTCATTTTTATAATTTATATAATTATTTTATATAATTATTTTTAACAGCACATCAAATACTTTAAAATCATTAGAATTATTTGCTTTGAAGTAGCTAATACGTATACGTTTGGATTTAAAAAATGGTAAGATATACTCACCCACATTTTATCAGGATACTCGACAAGCTCCTTGATTCGAAGTTTAATATTCTCTTTATCTTTCTCCCAATTCCTCTCGAGGAAGATACTCTCAGCGAATTTCCATGCCCATCCTAACGTAGGAATATATTGTATCGACTTCTTAGCATAAGCTTTACAGTTCTAAAAAATATATATTTTTCAAAATGTTCTTGTACCAATTATACTATATAATAATATACATGTATAAATACATTACATGCACGCACATGTGTGTGTGTGTGTGTGTGTGTGTGTGTGTGTGTGTGTGTGTGTGTGTGTACGTGTGTGTGTGTGTGTACGTGTATTATATATCATATATTTAAAAATTGATTTTCAAAGATTACATACACCTAGCAATCTCACGCGATCACATAACAGCCAACCTATTAACCAATCGGTTTCGTAACAATGATTCATCAGAAGATAGCCGTGTTCATTACCGAAATATTTATTAAAATCCTCCTTATCTATATATAATATCAGTTCTGATCCTGCCCACCATTCTGCCATAAATACCAATTCTGATGGAGATAAACGTTTAGAACATATTAATTTTTTTAGAAATACAACAAAAACCGTAACATAAAACAAATAAACTTACGACAGTAAAAGGAATAACAGAGATAATAGTTAATCTTGCGGTAGAAGTACTTTGAAATGGGCTTCAGTCCAAGGTATAAAATGCATTGGAAGAAATTTATTATCAAGCCGGATGTAAAAAATGTGATGGCAAACAAAAGGTGTACCACCAACCATTGCTTTACAAAGGCAAGAACTCTCATTATGATAAGCAAATAATACTAGACCGTATGTTTTATAGAAAACATAAATTTGGTTTCTCTGCCTGCAACAAAAACAAATTGGCAAGTGTTTAAGATAAAAAGATAGAATTGCTTATATATAAAATTCCTTACAATTTCAATTTCTTTATAAAATTCAATGAATACGACTGAGGAGATAGAGAAGAATAAAGACACAATTTTAGATTCTTTTTCCTGAGATTAGCTTTTTTATAATATCGGTCATAATAGAGAAAAATTATAACATGTAACTTCTTAAAGACATAATATAACTTCATTTGATTCTCTATTTATATATAACAAGTTATTCTAATTTTTATTAAAATAAAGATTTTGTAATTATTAGGCCTTTATTCCGCCCATCCCCTTAATTATAATTATTGTACCCATAATTGCCATTGTGTAAAAGGAAAATATGAAAATTTCAAAATAATGTTTATTGTGTATGACATTAGACAATTACATATGCAAGTATGTGTAAACAACTTGCCTGAAAGCGAAAAAAACAATTGTAGCATCGCTATGTACAATTTTCTGCTGGATGCTGTTACATATAATAGAAATTATAATGTACTGATTTTTGTTAATTGGCTTAGCAATTAATTTGGCATGGAAAAGAAAGCAAATCATATGATAAAAAAGATAAACTATTTACATAAATCATATATTAAAATATAAACACAAATAATAACAAGTACTTTTACTTGGAGAAATAAGATATAAAGACAGAGAATTATTACATATGCAACAGGATTCTTATGCGTTCGTTTGTTTTTTTAAACAGAGACAAACCATTTTTATAAGTTTATGTTAAAAACTATATATAAGCTATACTATAATTATACTGTGTACTCATTTATAATATCGACCAAATGGGCATTTCATATTTTTCCATTTACTTAATTTTCTTCATAGAACAAAAACTTCTTCTTAGCTAAAATAAAAGAAAAAACGCAAATAGCTGTGAGAAACAACAAATTTATATTAAAAGCAAAAAAAATTATAAATAAAAAATTTTGTATTACACATATATAGATTATTTCTTCACATAATAATGATTCTAAATATATATAAATAAATATATAACTATATACATTGTGTTTGAACTATATACATTGTAATGATAAATCTTTCGCAGAAATAGGAGCAGAATGGACTAAAAAGAAAAGTCCTCCACCATTTTGCAATAAGATATTAATTGCTAAAAATTGTCGAAAATTGGTGTTCAATAATTTTTTACTCACAGCAAATTGTTACAAAATATACTATCAATTTTACAGAAAAACTGTAAAAGACAAAAATTGTTTATCTTCTTCTCATAAAGTTCTTAGAATTTTTTCAGAATCTTTTAATACCATATTTTCTCATGTTGTTAAAAATAAGAAAATATAGTCTTAAAAAGTTGATAAAAAATTCTGAAAAAATTATTAGAGTTCTATGAGAAAAAAATAAATAATTTTTATCTCTTGCAGTTTTTCTATAAAGCTATAATATCTCTTGCAGTTTTTCTGTAAAGTTATAATAGTATTTGAGCAAAAAATTATTGAAAGCCAATTTTCGACAATTTTTAACAATTAATATCTAATTAACTATTGCTAAAAATCGTAAAATGATAGAGGACTTTTCTTAATTTAGTCCATTCTAGTCCAGTTCTGTTCCTTTGCAAAAGATTTATTGATCACAAAAATCATTATTTTCCAAACATTCTGTATAAACAAAAAATAATTTCCTATATTTGAATAATATATAAGAATGTAATGAGATCTACAAATTATGTTTTCGAATTTAAACTCAGATTGTATTTTTACATTCATCTCTCTTGTAAGCTTCAAAGTTATAATTTGAAGATCTCATTATATTCTTATAAATTATTTAAATGTAGGATGCTACTTTTTATATGGATATATATTTAAATTCATTTATATACGTGAAGAATGATCTACTTGGTAACTGTAATTTATTTTTCATACAGATTTGTGGTTTCCCACAGATGTTTGCATGCAACTTCTTTTATTTTAGAGAAAGATTTTCTATTCTGTGTAAGGAAAACAAATAGAAAAATACGCAAAATACATTCTGTCGATAATTCCAGTATTTCTTTAAAGCTCTTGAATACAGTGAATTATCGAAAAAAAAAGTGTTGCAACTTTTTTTTGACCTACTATACTCACTTCAGCTATACTGAATCGTGACATCGTAAGCAAGAAGTGACACATTGATTTTTTTTGCATGTCATTTATCAAAAGACAATTTGAATAAAACGGAATAATGAGATCGCTATAAAACACTTTTAAAAATTCTTGTAAAAATCATATCGTAATAAATATTATAATCCTTATTCTTCTTAACAATCAGTAAATAAATGAAAAAGTTCGTAAAGTGAAAATAGGCTAGACATGTATATTGAGTAAAATCTAATAAATGCACTTTATGTATTTTTTATTTACTGCTTACGGGAGAAGGAGAGGAGGGAGAGGGATAATGATAATCTCGCCCATTGTACAAGTATTTTGAAATAATTTTATTTTATTATATCCAATGTCTTTATTTATAAATGTCATGTAAGAAAAGTCAACGTGTCACTTACGACACATTTCTCACTTATAACATCATGATTCAATATAGTGTGATGAATATTCGGAATCTTGAACTTTCATTAGTACTTAAAAACAGAATATAAATTTGTAAAAAATTTGTAAAAAATTTCACATTAGCTTTAATAGAGATCAAATTCAGCTTTCCAAGGACAATTTAAATTAACAAATTAAATTTGACATTAAATTCTTAAGATATTTTACTAAATTATAATTTTTTATCGTACAAGTTGTACAAACTTAGCAAGTGCTAATGAAAGAATCTGAAAAAATAGTTATCATTATCATGTAAAAAGATGTAATGTTGCGCATAGTGACCACAGTATAACCAGTAGGGACGACACTCCGTGTCGTCAGTTACAGCATCCGCCATGTTAACATTTAAAAAATTAATGGTCGAATAGAGAATATAATGCCTTATAAATAATAGTGTGAC